TATAGGATTTGTTGAATTTTGTTCACTTGAGTGCATAAATCCCTTTTTTGGAGTTGCAGTTTAAGTTTTTCTTGATCATGAATGTTGTGGGGTTTTCAAAAGTGTTGGAGTTTTCTTGTATAATGATATCACTTTTCTATTTGCATTTTGTGGCCTCTTTTATTGTGTGTTGATTAAATTTGGATGAGATTAATAAGTGTTTTAGTTTTTTTTCCATTGGCGTTTGCTTTTAATTATTTTGGTTGCTTTATATATCTTCCATTTTATAATTCTTGTTAAGTAGGTCTAGATTTCTTGTTATTTCTGTAAATAGTTCTGGATCGTTCTTTTTGTATGTTGAGGCATATGCTAGATTTTGTTCGTTGTTGTGTTTCTTTGGGGTTTTGTAGTTTGCCTAAAGTTATATTCTGCTAGTTTAAAACTTTTATTTATTTGTGATGTGGGATAATAAACAAGTGTTTTCAACTAGCAGAAAGGTCACTGTTTCGTGTCAATAATAAAGAAAGAAATTCTATAATTCTTTTTTTTTTCTGGTCGAAGAGTTTAAACAGTTGGCCGGAGTTATTCAACATATACAACTGTTGATTGTAAGAAAGTAATCGAATAACTGAAGTGATTTGTAATGACAAAAGTACACAGGTGTAGGCTTTAACAAAGCTTTATTCAAGTGTGAATACAAGGTTAGTGTGTAGTGTCCTTTTATAGTCCCAATAAACAGAAATAGCTGTCTCAAAGAGGAGAGTACCAAAACAAGAGGAGACCACACTTCGCAATGCAACTGACATTATTTATCGTATATTCAAAAGAAATATATATTACACAAAGTAATTGTTGTATAGAAGAAAATATCGATCATTAATTGTAAGAAGACGAAATATATGTCGGCAAGCAAAATGGGTTCACCCAAAATGTGAATTACAAATCGGGGACGCCAAATTTAGACAAGACGCAACTCTTTGCGACTGCTCGGTTTCACATTGTCTGCTGACCTGCGATGGAACAAATATATAGTCAATAGGTTCGTCCACCGCAAAGACAAGTCGGATCCCTGTGCCGCTCCAGAAAAATTTTTCTCGCCGGAGTCGACGGATATGCAATGTAATTGTCCCTACGAGTGAGTTGCGACTTCGATCCTCACTGGGTGTTCCAATCATTCAGCCTTGTGCCACATCTGAGCTACGCTTGGAAAATGACTATTTGGGCGCCTCGAGGCGGTGTAATGGTTAGCAAGCTTGTCGCGCTAGAACAATTACGACCATATTTAGAGATGAATCTTACTAACCTTATAAAACATCAAATCGCTACATTAGATGTTTACATTCACCTCACAATAGTAAAGCAAAGAACTCTTTCAAAAACAACGTGGGATTTTCACAAAAATAAATAAACGAGCCATTTAGTTTCAGCAAGTGTTTTATTCATTTTACTCTTTTCTTTTGTCTATAAAAATATCACGTATTAACATTCTGGTGTACAAAGTAGTTGTTCACTGTCAAAGACTTAAAACGGATGTTAACTATTCGCATTTAGAAGCTAAAAATATGCGTCGTTTACAATGCCTCCAGTCACCGTCTTTCATCATGAAATTCGTGAAATGATGCCGATGAAAAAGAAAATAAATTTACTAAAGACGAACGAAAATTATTTTATTCATCAATGCAAGGCGGTGCAACTGCTAGTATGAATAAAAGTACACCAACGTTATTCCTGAATTTAAGTATGTCTAACAAGGTCATATTATTGCATGAATCTCTATTCAATCTGTGTGTGTGTGTGTGTGTGTGTGTGTGTGTGTTGGTATTATTCCTTATCAGGACCTGAACGTGCATAAGCTCTCCAGTAGCTATCAGGAGAATATCAGCTACTCATATAATAAAAGGGCGCCGAGATCGCACTCCAGACTCGCCGTGTGCAAATACTGGAGTAAATAAAGTATTAATTAATGAAGATTAAAACCTGATGTTATCATTTAATTGATGACTATTACATGACACTACTAATCCTATTAGTGCATATAATAAAGAAAATCACTGACCCGCACATCTACGGCATCAGTAGATAGCGGCCATCTTAAACTGAAGTCACCAGCCTAGATTAAGAATTTCACCTATTGTTCTCAAAGAACAATTATTTATATATTTTTCTCCTTACAATTGACTTAAAAAAAAAAAAAAACGAGTAACGATAACCGCTTACCATTTTTTTTATTGCTTCCTTTTTGTTATATTTTTCCATTCACTATTTTACGGTAAAAATTTTTTTTTCTCTTATCCTTACACTACTATAATTTACATATTTTTGCATATATTTATAACTTTCAAGTGTTTGTTTTTAAAGCTCTAAACTACTAAATTTATGTTATACCGGAACGTACCTATTCTATTGTAAATAGACTCTCCCACAGATAAGTAGTAGTAGTAGCAGTCGCCAGTGAAGCTGAGTGAGTTGTGTGAATCAGTCGATATCGGACATTAAAGTATGAGTCCCACAACTAGATTGCTGCGTCATTAACTATTATTTCAAGTTACTAACGTTTTGTACGTCGAACCTAATTTAGGACCGACTTAGTGAAATACAAGCTTCTACTGTGAAAATTACTCTACAACAATTTAGTATATCCCTTTTTAAAGCCATAAATTAATAAATTTAAAATGCGCGGCTTTAGAGCCCCAAATTATGATATATAAAATGTTTGTTTATATAAGCCGAAAAAAACTAAATTTAAATGCCCATATTTAAAGTTTTAAATTACTAACTTTAAAAAGCCCGTTTGTAAAGACCAAAAATACTAAATTTAAAATGTTCGTTCTAAAGCAGTAAATATTTAAAATTTTCGTTTTTCAAGTCCTAAATTACGACCCCCACTGTCGACTGGGGCTTCAGAATACGCCAATTGCACCTCTGTAGCGCGGTTAGACACCCGCCCCCCACAACGAATGATATGTCCTAGATAAGACGATAAACTATATCCGCGTCCTAGGTACAGCGATAAGCTACGTCCAACAAAAAGGCCTCTGATCAGGAGGTTTTGGGAGAGTGTGGAACCAACTCTTAATTGCTGGTGTTGTCAAACACGCTTCAATGAAACCTGATCAAAAAACTGATTTCTTACAAAGAATATATATTCTATTCATACGAACCTATCCTAAAAATCCTTGTCGGCATTAAATAATTCATTGAGGTCTTAATATGCCGTAAAACAAAATAAACTTAGACCTGCCAATGCTAAAAATTTACAACAGCTAGTGAACTTGACAAGGATGATTTCCTGAAAAAAAAAGTTCTAAGAAGAAATATTTTATATATTTCAACCTACATTAACACTAAATTTTGTGTCAATGAATGCTGAATATTTCGTGGTTGGAAAGAATTAGTTTCAACATTGTCAATAAAGAAATACAAACATCTTGCAAAAAATTGCTGTTGTTGCAACGTCCACCCTAACCCGGGGTGGTTACACTTGTCAGGGTCCCAACTATGGGCAAATATTCAACCCAGAAACTGGGGTCAAACACTATGAAAGTAGATTTTTATAGTAATAACACCAGCAATATATTTTTGGAAAAAATATTACCAGCAATATATTTTGATAAAAATGTGGCACCATTTACCGAGGCAGAAAAAGAGAAGAAAGGAAAAAAGGAAAAAAAAAAAGAGGCGAGACCCAAAACGTGGATGATAAGCAGAACACCACGGCTAAGAGACAATGGTTAAAGGATATTTTGATAAGTAACAAATGGCGAAAGAGTGTCATTACAATGACAGGGAAATTCTTTTTTTCCAAAGGAATCGGGTGTGTTTTCGACGGCTGTGTTATCTGGGATACGTAAACAAACTGCTGGCCGACTGGCCAAAGAAAAACCCAAATGAAAATGTTATTTCGATAAGTGACGGAAAATAGGTGGACTAAAGGGCTCTGGATAGATATGAAACATTAAAAGCCGCACACGATGTGTCCACTGACCGATTTCTTTCGACGGAACATCTTTAGCCTGCGATAATAAAATTATGTTATCAGAAATGTGTACCGAAAGGAAATGAATGGGAACTTAGAAATGTTCTTTTCGGGGCGACGTTTGGTCGTGTTAAAAAGACCACCCATTCTGATAATTAGCGACCAGGATAGGACGTCACAGTTGGCGCTGCGACCAGGGGACGACGTCACAAAAATATTAATAGCAAAACATTTAAAACAAAATATCCGCAATACATTTTTGGAATAAATATTACCGGCAATACATCTTTAAAAGAAATATTACCAGCAATATATTTTGAAGAAAGAATATTACCAGCAAAACATTTGACTCTCGGTAAAAACCTTCTTTATAAAAATATGTCAATGAAACCTTACCTATAAACTGATTTCTTACAAAGAATACATATTCTATTCATACGAACCTATCATAAAAATCTTGTCGGAATTAAATAACCCATTGAAATGTTAATATGCCGTAAAGCAAAATAAACCAACCTTCATTCCCAGCAATTCAAACAGACGTTCTGCTTACCTTTTGTGAAATATATAGTCACTATGATGATCGTGGTGATACTACAAATGTTGGTATACTGTTGAAAAAAGAAAAATGCATGCAATCCCGACCAACAAGAGATCTAATTCGACTTAGACTCAAAAATCTTTTCTGGTTTTTTTTTTTTTTTGTTTTAGTTTTTTTTTTTTTTGTTGTTTTGTTTTTCAATGTCTCTCGAGAGGAAGAAACAGTGCAATCACTTTTGTTACGTGCCTTAACTAACACAAAATAAAGACAACAGCTACGACATTTTTTGACGTTAAAAAAAAAATTATTGCTGAAAATACTTCGGGCCCCTAACTTTGTGGGAGTCAGTGTGATCACGTGTTGATCACATGTTGATTATAATTTCTCTTGTTTTTGTTTTTTGTCATTCTTTCTCTCGCTTGCGAGCTCAATAGATAGATTGTTCGACTTCCTCACTGTTCTTTTCCTAGCTGTCACCGCGAAGGCTAAAGAAAGCAAACGTTTATGCCGTTGTGTCTCCTGTATATTCTTTCTTTCTCTCTACTTTTGTTTCATACCCTCGGCTGTCAAGCTGTGACAGGCTTACGGCCACGTCACGTTGAAACACTAGTTCCCATATGATCACCGAAGTTAATCAAGACCGAGCCTCGGTTTCGTTTCGTTTCGTTTCGTTTCGTTTATTTTACGGCATATCAACCTTTACTTAATTATCTAATTTCTTTAACGCCGACAAAATATTTATACTAGTAATATTTTTTTCAAAAATTGTATCCCTGGTAATATTTCTATTCTTCAAAAATCTATTTCCGATGTATAGATAGATAGATAGATAGATAGATAGATAATATTAGTGGTAAATATACACATACATATGCAAAATATATAAATATATATGTAAGCAAATATATGGATATAGATCTGACAGTATGAAGAAAAAAATATAGGAAAACAAAATTTCTTAAAAAATAAATATTTTTAATGTTTATGTTTTATTCAATGTCAATATGGACATTTTCATATTCATAAAATATAATTAACATTATCAATTCAACATGTTAATTATATTTTATGAATATGTCCTGAAGATGGTTTATTAGACCGAAACATCCGACGTTGACATTATATTAACATTAAAACAGCATAATTGCATATAAGAATTTTTGTTTGTTTTTTCCGTATATTTTCTTCATAAATATATGCATGCATACATGCATACACATCGATATATATTTTGTATAAAAAAAATTCCAGGAGGAGAGAATCCAGGTAGAACTCAATATCCAGGACAGAGTAAGGATATAATAAAAAGGCTTAAACACTAATATTTCATGGTCATAATTTATTCCATTGGAATCGTAAATACGATCCAATTCATCGGACCTACAAATTCAAAAAAAAAAACAGAAAAAATAACTCCGGAAATAAAAAATAAAATTTAGAGAGCGTGTAAGTATGAGAGTGTGGGACGACTGTTAGAGCTATAGAGACGGGTAACAGACGAGAGAAGGTTGGGGATTAAAATTTAACAGAGAGAGCTTTAGAGAGGTGAGTCAAAGACGGTTTAAGTGAGAGAAATATGAATGTTGTCGGATGTCTAATACATTAAAGATGTAACCGAAAGGATGTGGTGACATACACAACCATTAGATGATCTCATCTTAAAGATCAGAAGAAGAGGGAGGGAGAGGAAAAAAAAGAAAAAGGGGTGGGGAAGAGAGATGGGGTGGGGAAAACTAAAACTGAAGGGCATTTACTGAAAGCGCCACTGTGTAATTAAGAAAATTTGACAAAATTAATATCGACTACAGGTTACAAATCAAATATAAGCATAAAAAATAAATATAACGATTATATATATATATATATAATGTATAATGTATAGTTGATAATAATGTACTGCTGTTAAAAATTTCTTCCTTCAAAAACTTATTTCTGGTAATATTTTCTTTTTACAAAAAAGTATTTCTGGTATTAAAACCTATTTTTAAACTTTCATAGTGTTTTGACCCCAGTTTGGGAGGTTAATTATACAACCTACAACCCCGGGTCAAGGTGGACCTGGGAACCATAGCAAATAAGAGGTGGTTCCACGATCCTCAAAGCCTCCTGATCAGAGACCTTGCTCTCGGACGTAGTTTATTGTCTTACCAAAGACGCTGATATAGTTTATCGTTATACCCAGGACGGGTCGAGCGTCGTGGGTGAATGCTTGGGAATAACAGATGCTGTAAGCTTAGATGTGCGCGTGGTGTAATGGATAATCGCTCGGAATTGTCAAGCGGAGTTCGAATTCCAGTTGAGTTCTTTATATTCACTTACGGTCAAAAATCCTGGGGAGAGATACGAATCCACTTCTTCTCTTCCCAGCTGTGGGTTAATTAGTGAGACGTGTATCACAAAAAATGTCCTACAATTAAAAATATTTTCTGGCATTAAATAACCTGGAAATTTTTTATAAACCATAAAACAACAAATCAATCAATCTGTGGTGATACAAGGGATCTCCGTCTTTCCCTATCTTTTCTGTCTTTTATTTATTTATTTATTTATTTTTGTTGTTGTTCTGATTTCGTCTTTTCTTCTTCCCGGCTTTCCATCTGTCTTGATAGAAGACATCTTTTTTTTTCCTTTTTTCTTCTTGATTCATTTGAAGAAGAGACATCGAGCAACAGAAATGTAGCTCTACAGAAGGATGATGAGGATGCATAATGGACTGAACATCTGAGCAACGACGAGGTTTTAGGAAAACAATGGAAACAAAAGGGAAACTTATAATTAACATCCAAAAAGGACAATTGAAATTTGCAGGGGTGTGCACATAATGAGGAGGGGGGCTTAGAAAATCTATTAATCTCAGGACAGATTTAGACGAACAGAGGAAAACGATGTATTAATATTTAATGAGCTGGAGTAAAACGATGTTTTATCAGGGTTTAAGAGGAATAAGAAAAAGACAAAATTTATTACGGACTACAAAGGACGGGAAATTGTGGAGAGCTATGATCACCTACGTTTTCACGGGTCATAGATAAAGAAGAATATTCCGTTTCTTTCTGATTTCATTACTCCTTGACCCTTCGCCATCTGTGGAGATACGAGAATGTTTTCATTCTTTTCTCTTCTCTCTCTCTCTCTCTCTCTCACTCTCTCTCTATCTATCTATCTATCTATCTATCTCCCAAAATTCTTTTCTTTCTAATTTCTTCTGTTCATTTATCCGCCTCTCCATCCGTGGGAATACCAAATTATTTTCTTTCTTGTTTTTTTTTTTTTTGTTTTATTTTGTTTTGTTTTTTTTCTATTACTTTTCTATCAAAATTCGTCTCTTCTCGCTTGTCTAACGAGTAATTTCTTTATTTCCACTATTTTTTTTTTTTTCGTTTCTTCCAAATATTTTTCTTTCAAATTCCGTCTTTTCTCACATGTCTTTCTGCAGCAACACGAGCAATTTCTTTCTTTCCACGTCTTTCTTTTCCATTCTTTTGTTTTTTACTTTCGGATTTCCACCTTTCTTCTTCGCACATCCCGTGGTGCAATGAGAAATCTCTTTCATTCTTCTTTTTTCTTCTTTTCTTCCAAATATTTTTCTTTCAAATTTCGTCTCTTCTTCTCGCTTGTCTATTTGCGACGACACGAGTAAATTCATTCTTTCCACGTCTTGTCTTTTTTCCTGTATTTCTTTTCCTTCTGTTCTGCTTTCGTCAAGTCGTGTATCCATTCGCCATTTCGGACTCATGGCTTAGGCAGTTTGTGACAGGTGTTAGAGTATACAACTCCCATTTAAATCGGATCACAGACTTCTTGTAACAAAGCTGACAGCACCAGGCAACAAAGTGGCTTGCTTCCTCTCGCTTGAACTACAAAAGACACCTAGGTATAACGTCCAAGCCATTAAAAATGCAATAGTAAAAACAGAATTCTGTGATACACTAGAGTTCAAATAGATTTCCCTAAATTGTGACCAAAATTACATAGAATAATTAAATAACATAAATATATACTTAGATTGCAAAAAGTATTCTTGTAGGTTGACAATCCTGAGTTTGAAAGATTGATACAAGATAAAAACAAGAAGAGGAAGAAATGGAAGTGGCAATTCTAAACAATGGCCAAATTAATAAACTAATTAATACGCTGAGAAATCAATAACACAAGGAAGTTGGAAACAAAAATTAATTAAAGGCAGACATCATAGAATATGTTCTAAAACATGGACAAAAGAAATATTACGTCATACAATCGAAACCAAAACAGAAGAAGTGGCCTGGTCTCAAGAAACACTTCGAATTATATTTCAACCCTGGCCATACTAAGCTGAATATGCCCGCTGAAATAAAACATACACTAGTATAGATCCAATTATTACAAAATCTGTCTACAAGCCTAAAAAATAACGAACCTAGTGATGAGGATGTCAAGTGATCTATGAAAATAATTAAAGAATAAGGAAGCATCACTTCACATTAAAACTGAATTTTGAAAATAACCTACCCTCTCATCGAAATTGAAAACACTTTATTACAGTTTCATAAAATAAGACGGGAATCAGAAACATATCCCCAAAAGTTGGGTATATTGCATATTAAGGCTTTACAAAAACAAAAAACGTAGCCCTCAGAACCCTCACACATACAGAGATACCTCAATTTAATTCATTAAGGTAAAAGTACTAATTTACATTTTAGTAACTAGGCTCTCACCTTTCAATGTGAGCTACCTCCTCACAAACCAATTTGTCTTGCGTTCACGTAAGGGGTTTAATTAGGGCATATATGACATCAAACAAACCGCTTTCCAGGATCTGACTTCATTGAATGTCTATATTAGACAGAGGAACTATGTCAGTACAAAACATTAGACGTTTGGTGAATACCCCATATCATAGTACGGCAAGAGGGAAATTTAATCTTTTCTTAGACTATGTCGTGTGAATATACAGTCATAGAGATGAAGAGATGGACACTGATCATTTATGTATTGCATACAATACCCATAACGAATTCTCAAACCAGTCAGTTAAAACCTGGTCTGTCCTTATTTACCCATGTGGGGGGGAAAATAGGAAAGTTCCTTTCCCAAGGGTCAAGTCAGTCAGTTATGTCGATGATACACGCTTAGGCGATCATGTATCTTTCGATACATAATTGACCAAGCAGATTTTTTCCCGCAGTAGGTTGCCATTTCTTTTCTGCGGTAAACCAGTTGCCATCCAAGGTTATAGAACTCGGTCTGTCCTGCTATTGATCCGTAGCTGGGGTGGGGTGGGGTTTAAGGAAGAGGATTCGTCCCTTTTCCAAGGGTAAGAAAAACGCACGTAAGTGAATGTAATGGATTCGACTGGAATTCGAACTCGGGTCTCTGATTCCTCAATCCGAGCCGCTATCCATTACTCCACCGAATCTACTGCTAGAAAACTACGTGGTTGATTTCCCTCCCGATGTCAAAGTACTAATGAGGAGATGGCTGTGTTAATGACGGGTATTCATAGTTGGTATATGAATGATCATGAACAAAAAGTTAATGTACCAAGTGTTCCAAGATTGATTGTTTTTACGGTTTATCAACCCCTATGAAGAAAAAGTCGAAAAGATATGCATAAATAGAATGAAAATATACCAAAAGAGAAAATAAAAGGAACATAAAAGAAGAACAGTAAATACAGGATGGAAAAAGGAGAAGCAAAATGAATTAACATAAAATGAGGGTAGAATTGATAAAGAATAAAACAGGGGGAAAAACAGCAAATTAAGCGTAGCGGAAAGAGAAAGAAGATGAGAAAATAGCAATTAAGAGGAAACAGAATAAGGTGAACGAAAATGTAGTTTAGCAAAATGCAGGTTCAGGGGATAAAGAAAAGCAGATGAAGAAATAAAAAGGGGGACGAAGAAGAATGAAAAGAAGAAGAAGATTTAGATTAAAGAAGAATGAGATATAAAGGTAAAGACGAAGAAAAAAAAAAAGCCTTAAAAAAAATTTGTATAAAAAAATTAAACTGAAAGGAAAATATATTAATATATAATATCAAGAACAATAGTAACACCATCAAAATATCTTTGCAAGTGAAGAAGAAGAAGAAGAAGAAGAAGAAGAAGAAGAAAGGGAAGAAGTGGAAAAACTTAAAGGGAAGAAGACAAAATCCAGCATAAGGAGACGGAAGATAAAAGAATCCTTGTAAATGATGACAATAATTCAATTTCTACCAACGACAGATTGTATGGTAGACCCTAAAGCTTAATCTTATCTCTTTGCGCTGCAAAATTCATTCTCAGAGCAAAAACCAACAGAAGCTTTCTCGTGCATACAAAACTAGTAGAATTTACCTTTAATTAGGGCGTGTTTAAACGCTTCCGTGCATTGATATGAGTACAAAAATCACAGGTTTCCATAACAATTTTCTATAAAGCCCAGACATCTATTATTTCATTACAATTGTCTCTGTCTGCCTTTTTCGCCGGCGCATCTTTCATCTCCATCCTCCCATACTTTTTCGCCCTATCTCGGCCTAGATTCTTAAACAAAATTATTATGACGTTTTAGTTATCTTTCTCGCCCTATCTCACTCTCTCTTTCTCTCTCTCTCCCTCTCTCTCTCTCTCTCGCTTTTCCATTTCTTTCCTTTTTTTATCTCTCTCCCTCTTTCTCTCTTTTTCTCTCCCTCTCTCTTTCTCTCTCCCTCTCTTTCGCTACCTCTTTTTTCTCTCTCTCGCTCTCCCACCCTCTCTTTCGCCCTTTCTTTCTCTCTCTCTCTCTCTATCTCTCTCTTTCTCTCTCTCCCTCTCCCCTTCTCTCTCCCTCTCTCTCACTCTCTTTCGCTACCTCTTTTCTCTCTCTCTCGCTTTCCGACCTCTAGTTCCCCCTCTTTCTTTCTTTCTTTCTTTCTTTTTTTTTCTCTTTTAAAAAGAAGAACTTTCTCTCCCCCTTTTTTTCTCTCTTTCTCTTTCTTTCTCTCTCTTTCTCTCTGCCTCTTTGAAAATAGTCTCTTTCTGCACTGGTACTTACTGATCAAAATGGATTACAGCTAATGTACGTTCTACAGGTTTAAAAAAATCTATCGTTCGCATCTTTTCAATGATTGTGTTTAACTATCTCCCCTCCATCACTGGTTTTGAGACCAAACATGATTCAGGTTAAGCGGCTAAAAATTAAAATGACATTTCCCAGGTCAAATTTTGAGATCGCCACGTTTCGGAAACATGAGATTATTACGTGTTTTTATTTAATATTAAGTCTAATGCTTGTACATATGTTTCTTTACATTTTGAGATTACTGGACGATCCCTTCAAAACTTGAGACTTGAGGCAACAGAAATAAGCCCTACAGTAGGATGCTGAGGCTAACATGGTGTGAATATGTAAGCAACGACGAGGCTTTAGGGAAAACAGAAGCAAAAATGAGACTTAAAGTTAACATCAGGAAGAGACTGTTAAAATTTCTGGGACGCATAATGAGAAAGTAGTGCTTGAATAATCTGATACTCAAAGGACAGATTGTGGTCAAGTGGAACAGAAGCAAATACAACAACAAACTTGACGAACTTGAGTAAGTGAATGGCTGAAGAGGGTTTTAGGAGAAATAACGAAAATAGAAAAATTATTATGAGCAACAAAAAAAGGAAATTGTGGAGAACCAACATCGCCTACGACCTGAGGAAATGCAGCGCTATAAGAAAGGAGACGTTTTGAGATGTCGTGAGAGTAATTTGGATCTGATATGAATTTGACTCTCTGTTTTACATTAAAAAAAATGATGAAAATAATTTGTGTGGCGGGTTTCACCAGTTAGGACATTATTATGTTTCTAAACTGGCCAGTAGTATTTAAGTTTAATTCCAGTATTAAACCTTGACCACTGGGTGGCAGTTTTATCCTCAAACTCTCAAGAAATATAAATTCAATTTTTCCTGAAATTTTCACTAAGTGTAGACAAAGAGCCGTTCAATTGTGCTTTGGATCTGTAAGTTATTTAAAATGATACAGACAGAGAGAGAGAGAAAGAGAGCTATAATTCATTTAATTTTTTTATTCAAATATCAAGTGTTCAAAATTATGGAACAAATCAATGTTCTTAGTAAAAAATATATTTGGACAAAAAAATGCAAATAGTTTTATGAATATTTCTTGCTAAGTTCCTTATTTTGAATCATTGTTGCACATCGGCGTCCAAAGGATTTCAATAAATTTTGACATTTGTCTACTGTAATTTTATCCTATTACTCCTCTAATTTACCCCATGATCTTCGACATTTGATAGATTCCTAGCCATGACATTTTGTCCTAAAGTTTTTCATAAGTTTTCTATGGGATTCATGTCAGGACTTTGAGCTGACTAATCCATAATGTTTATTCCTTTGTCGTTCAGACAAGCAATAATCTGCTTTGCATTATGACAGGCAACATTATAATGCATGAACACAGGATTTTCAAACCAAAAATTTTGTAATACCGGTACATATTCTTCTAAGAAATTCTTGTACATAGCAGCATTAACTCTATTATGTAAGCATACAAGAAGTGACGTATCCAAACTTGAAAACAGGCGGAAACCCATCACGCTGCTTACGACCAAATTGACTGTCTTCTTGGTGCAATTTAAATTAGGTTCGACGTACAAAACGTTAGGAACTTGAAATAATAATTAATGACGCAGCAATCTAGTTGTGGTGGTTCATACCTTAATGTCCGACATCGACTGACTCACTCAACTCCACTGAGCCCACGGCCGACTGCTACAACTACTACTACTACTTATTATGTGTGGTAGAGTATATTAATAATAGAATAGGTACGTTCCGATATAACATATACTCTTTTCCATCAGAACCAAATACAGTAAAATTACTTTCGTCACTGAAAAATGACCACAACACGTGTTTGTTTGCAAATTTCAGTCTTGCTGCCTTTTTTTATGCTTATCAGCGGTTTCTCCTGTTAACACCGAACATAAAGCCCTATTTCTTGCAAGTGTCTTAACACAGTCTGCCGAGAGATATTAATTTCATCTGAAATTTCTCATGAAATGCCTGCCGCAGTTCAGAAATGTTCCTTCAGTACTCGGCATTGAACGATCCTTTCTTCTCTGACCGTTGTTTTCCTTGGTTTTTTCCACACCTTGTTCGGACTGGTTAAGCGAACAGTGTTTTTATACAGTTTCCGAATTCGGTTCACAATGCTTTTGGAACGCTTCACCTGTTCATCAATCTGTTTGATTGCGGGATTTTCCTATTGCAGTTTGATAACCACCCCAGCTACGGATAAATAGCAGGACAGACCGATTTCTATAACCTTGCATTCAAAGGTTTACCGCAGAAAAAGAAAAGTGGCAACCTACATGATTCAAAATAAAAAATCTGCTTGGTCAATTATGTATCGAAAGATACATGATTGCCTAAGCATGTATTCATGCAAAAAAATATAACTGACTGACTTCATAAAGGGAAAGTAGTGTTTCTTCTTTTTCCCCAGGTTGGACTAATAAATAGCAGGACAGATCTGGTTCTATAGCCTTAGATGGCAACTGGTCTATCGCAGAAAGAAATTCCAACCTGCTGCGGGAACTTTTCGTTGGTTCGCCATGTTGGAAAATGGCGTAATGATGATAAACAACTCATCAGCAATTCGGATTATGTGCGTTATTTTCACATATTTCCCCGATTTTTTCCTTAATTTTAGACACTTGATATTTAAGTAAAGAATTAAATGAATCATGGCTCTCTGAGTATCATTTCAAATAACTTACAGTTTTAAAGTACAATTGAACTGGTATTTTTCTACATTTATTGAAAATTTCAAAAACATTGGATTGATATTTCTTGAGACATCGAAATTTTAATTATTGTTCCTTAATTTTGGACGAAAATTGTACCTGCGTGCGTGTGTGTGTATGTATGTGCGTATGTTTAAATCCAATTTACCGGCCTGAATGTTTGAGAAATTTTGTGGAACGCTTTTTTTCTAGTAGATTTCTCAAGCATTTAATCTGGGAAATATAAATAATGCTGTTTAATTAAAGACAGAGCAATTACTCAACTAACTTGTATTTATAAAAATAACATAAAAATAGATTGGTTTAGTTTGAGTTACGGCATATCAACCTCAGTGGGTTATTTAATGCCGACAAGATCTTTTTAGATGGTATATATTTTTTTATCTATTGTATCTATCTATCTATCTATCTATCTATCTATCTATCTCAGTATATATCGGTTTTCATTTGCATTTGTTTTACGGCATATCAACCTCAATGGGTTATTTAACGCCGAAAAGATTTTTTTAGATGGTTATATTTCTATTTTTCTATCTATCTATCTATCTATTTATCAATTTTACCTCATTATATTGGTTTGGTTTCTTTACGGTATATCAACCTCATAGGGTTATTTAATGCCGACAAGATCCCATTATTGATGGTAAATTTTTTTTTTATTTTATCTATCTATCTATCTATCTTTCTATCTATCTATCTATCTATCTATCTTAGTATATCGGTTTGTATTCCTTGTTTTAATTCAACCTCTTCCCATTATTTAACGCCGACAAGAATATTTATCTATCTATATTATCTATCTATATATTTGTATCTTCTATCAATTTTGTTATATTGGTTTGGTTTCTTTTACGGTATATCAAATGTTTGGGGTTAATTTTAATGAACAAGGTTTTTGAATTTTTTATTTTTCTTTTAATATTTTTTTTGTATTTACAGATTTTTAATCTATTATCTATTTTTTTTTTATTAAAATTTTTTTCATTGTTTTACCGAAAAAAATAAATTTTTTTAATATTTTTTTTTTTTTTTTTTGCTTTCTTTTTTTTTTTGTTTTGATTGGTGTTTTTTTTTGAAAATTTTAGAAAAAATTTTTTTTTTTTACAAGTTCAATGTTTTGAGGGTTAACAATTTGTTTTGCCCATAGGTTTAAACCATAACAGCTTTAAATCCCTAATCAATTTGGACCTGGAAACACCAGCAATTAAGAGGTGGTAATTGGTCGTCATAAATCTCCTGATCAGAGGTCTTGCTGTCGGATTTAGTTTATCGTCTTACCAAGGACGCCAATGTAGTTTATCGTCACACACAGGACGGTCTATTTTTAGATATAATAAATATATAGTTATGTGTGTGTGTGTGTGTAATGTGTGTGTGTGTGTGTGTGTGTGTTGTTTGTCAAATTTTTTCAAGATCCAGTGGTGACAGTCTTTTATGCTTAAACACAGTCTTCAGGAAAAACTGAAACAAATATGCGAAAAAAAACTAATATAGGACATGACGAAAAAAATATGTGTTAATCGGGAAAAATCCTAAATTCAATCAAACAGAAAAACTATTAGATTGACATATTTTATTTCATCGGCTTTAAAAAACCAACTTAAAAAAACCGGCTTTTTAAATCTTTCTATTTCAACCTTATGACATCAGTGGATCATTTTTTTACTGACAAAAAGCAGACGGAAGCCTACATTCAGCATCATCGGAATTCTTTTCAATCATACTTTTAAATTCTTACAAAATAGAATAAAAATTTACATTTAAAGATTGACTATTATCATTCCTAACCATGATGATTATATAACTATTTATATTATTCGGACTATTGCCCTCATTTTGTCACCATGTTTATCACAACGTTTCAAAATTGTACGCTCCGGCCTTCTTCAGGTGGTTGGAATGTCGAACGGAACCCTTTATTTCGCCCACTGGGATAGACTGTTCTAGTTCCACGTGCCATGTTTAATGGATGCCAAGTTAAACCTTTTAAATTATTGATGAAAGTTAACATTGATATTAGAATATATTGAACTCAAAATTCTTTTGGGTCCTGTCAATTCTTTCTAACTATCGTTTTTATCCACGGTGCCATGTGTCCTTGAGGATGAAGGCTAAAAAAAAAACATCCGAAACGTTGTAATAAATTTACTATTTTTTAAAAATGAGGACATTTGTCTGAATAATGTAAATAATGTAAAATACCTCATCTCAGAAATATACACATATACTGAAAGACCGAAACGTTGTAATTAATATGGT